CCTAACACACCTGAAAAAATAATTCAAATTCAAATATTTACTGAGAACGTCCTAATTTTTTATAATTTCAAAGTATTTTTTGAGTGGAAATTCTAAACTAATTCGTTAATTTGTTTATTAATAAAACTTTTGTTTATATAAATATACAGAAATACTTTGCATAGTGCGGTTTATTGTTTTTTTCCAGTATCTCGGACTGTTTGAAATCGAGCTAATCGAGAACTTTAAAAACACACAAAAATTAACAATACAAGAAGAAGGTAAAAACGATTATCTATTAAAAAAATGAGAATTTATTTGTTGTATTTTGTTGAATTTAAATTTTCAAACCGTACTATAATGAATCCGCACTAATCAAAGTTGCACTATGCGAGGTCCTGTGCTAGTGTCCTGTGCGCTTTTGTCAGGTCACCGAAATCGCTTTATACTATAGTTAATTCTAAGAATAATCGTTATTATTAATATTATTAATTCTATCCTTTAAAATTTAGGCATTTCTGTACATTATATTAAAATAAATTATTCCATAAAATTTGAATGAATTAAAACGATTTGAATAATTGTTGGATACATTTGCGAACTGCGTACTTGAAAATAATAATATAAAGAAAATATACGTGCACGTACGTATGAATATTCATGTGCTCATTTTTTTTTGTTGGTATGTTTCTTATTTAGAAGGAGGCTGCAAATGCGAACCACCCTCGAAGCACACGGATATCACATTAATCAGGAAGGGTTAAGATAATAACATGAGATGGAGTAGGTGTTAATCAGGGTTATGCCCTTATTACACCTCCGGGAACATATCTTAACTTTCCCTCCGCTTTCAAGTGGAGTTGATGTAAGAGCACCTTAAACGCCCTAACATGAAACTACAAACAGACAGATTGTTATCCATCCGCTATGATAAACATAACTTACTTCGCTGCATAATATTTAGACAAAATATATATGATAATATATTTCTGTTCAATGTTTATAATGTCTATTAATTTATTTTATTTGTTCAATCAACAAATCTTTAATTATTGTTTTAAAACAATTGATATGAAATTGAGTTTATTAAATAACTAATAAAGACAATTGTTTTTATTCATGATTAATTCATTTTAAATTCAGTTATTTTGTTTTAAATTCATTTACTAAAATAATTATAGAAATTATATAAAAATGTATTGAAAAACAGAAGAAAAATTATACATTGAATTCTTGTATTTTCTAAAAATATACCTTCTACATTTTATAGTGTAAAATTAAAAGAAAAATAATAAATAAACTTATTATTTATTTATTTAAAAATTTTATTTCTTAAAATTATTACCAGATGAATAGAGGTTATATCCGCTTTAAATAAACTTAGTCGTATTGGAAACTGAAATATAAAACATTTAAAAATATTTTATATATTATTAATTTATTGGTAATCTGTTATTTTGATTGGTTAATAAATATCGAAATCAATAAAAGTTTATGAGAAAGTTCATCATTTGCATTGGAATTGTATTGTTAAGGTAACTACAAGAATAACTACTCAATAAGTTCGTAAGATGACCAATAAAACATAGTCTCCTTAAAAAGTCTTCGACCTCAAAATACGGCTTTCACCTTTCGCTTGAAGAGCTCCAATCAGCGCTTGGAAACATCAATTCGTTGTTGTTTTTGGTCCACTTTGAGCTTGAACGTGGTACCCATTTCGAACAAAGCTTTCTTATTATCAAAGGTTTATGCAAAATGGTGATTACACAACCTTCTGATATCTTCAGGGTATCAACTGTCTTACGCAACATCAATTTACAATCGGCCAAACCCATTTTGTGGACTTGTTTTATGTTCACCATAATTTGTGTCTGAACGACCGCGTTTAAAATCAGCAAACCACGTCTCTACCATTTGTCTCGACGGAGAAGAGTCCCCATAACACTTATCAAGCCATTGCTTCAACGGTATTTTTTCCCATCAAAAAGTAATGAAATTCAGATTTTTCCATTGTTTTAAAAATTACAAAAGACGCTACTTTTGTACTAAAACCACTGTAACTTGTTAACTAAACGTCAGATTATCATAAAACTTTGACAGGCGTCGTCTGAAGGTTAGTACTTGTTAAAAATCATTTGGATTTTTCGTTAAAGGCACCATATATATGTCATCCTACAAACTTATATATCAAAATAATGTCTGTTCTTATATATTGTACTGAAAATATGAATACTCTTTCAATTTAGAAGTAAAGTTTTTTTTTGTTTATTAATTAAATTTTAAATAAATTATATTATAAATATTTATTGTGTGTTAGATATGAAATAAATATATATTGGAAAAACAATCACAAAGATTAAGATACATTTAAATTGATAACGTTGAAGCTCAGTAACAATCAGTATCTTCGATTAACAAATAGGATTCGTTTTACGAAATTACTTCTTATATTACTTCGTTAAACGAAACGAAATTTCGTTTTCATAGGTAAATATACAATGGTCAGAATGAGGACACATTCCTTCTTAAATAGACAAATTGCGTACAAAGTGGAATCACATTTTTAAAGATGAGTTGTTTCTACTTTTTTCTTTTTCATTTAAGGAGTTACTGCATTTAATACTGATTACTTAACAATAATACTTCTTTATATTAACTGTCAATGTCATTTCAATTATTTTTTAAATCTTTGGTTTTCAGCATTTTTTGGCAGGTTAGAACATTACTTGAAACTGAGTTTTTGCTATATCGTTGCTTTGTTATCAGAGGTAACGTTAACAAAGGTAAGAGTTTTTTGAAATTAAAGACCTATTTGCTGCTGTTATATATTTATAACGAAACACTTAAAAAACAACAAAAATCATAATGACTAACTATTTATAATAAATTATTTATTTTAATGTAACTGATAAATTATATAAATGGAGAAATAAAAAAGTACATAATTCCGGTTCAGATGTAAATAAATTCGAAAATAGAAATGTACATAAACTAGAACAAAATCTATTACTGATGAAAGAGTTATTTATAATAGTATTGCAAATAGATGAAATCATCGAGTGATTAACATGAGTGGCAATAGCGCAATCCATGGATATTGTGGATGATCGATAGCGATGCATCCAAAAGTTTCCAGTCTCTCGTTGAAAAACTTTAACTTGGCGAGTTTCTGCGGTGGCGGTAGAGGGGCTCAGAAAAATAGGATCCGAAAAGCGTAGAGATGTGGGGCGGCGGGTGGACGGCAGCAAAGAGGCGGAGGCGGCAGATGTTCCGGGGCGGACGGCAACGGACAGGAATTCGTTTCAACCAAGTTACTTGCGAAATTTAGTACATATTTCTCTTTTTAGTTTCGGCCCTCGCACTCTCCAGCAACTCACTCACCAAACTTTACACTGCAGTGTGTAAAACAAGTATATATATATATATATTTACATGTGTGTGTGTATAAAATATTTCGGATGCTTCGCAAGTACTTGGCGTTCTCAGGGCAGAAAATAATAAGCGCATATTTTTATTTATTTCGAAAAGGGAAAACCTGAGGTCGGAACAAACATTTCGAAGCAAAATGTATAAACGTTTGGAAGGAAATTGGGTCGGGGATGGAGTATTTCGAGTACGAAGTCTAAATGGGCATCGGGGGATATTTTGGGACCCCGACAAAGCGTTATACGTGTGTGTCTATATATGCGAATGTACACACGTGTGTTATGTGTGTATGTGTGTGTATAGATGTGAGGGTGTGTTCATTGTGTATATTGTGTCGCAGATTTCGCATGCTGGTTCCTATATTGCACACCTGCCACCACTAATTAGTAGCCTATAACGACCATCCGACTGTCGATTAAAGCTAATATATATTGCTGCGATGTGCGGGGGCGGCAGATGAACGCTGTCGCTCGACAGAGACGTGCAACAACTAACGAATTTATGATGGGCTGCATCCAATAGGAAGATTGATTTCATCCGCGCTGCATCCACAATGCACATAGATTTTGCGACCCGTCATTAACACTATATTCCAAATATAATTCCAGACTATACGATACATAAAATTTACTATTTTATATCATCACTACATTTCCGAAATAGTTATAATCAACTGAATTGCTTGTGAATTCATATAGTCATAGAATAGGATAGATTTTGATAAGGATACATTTCACAATTAGTCATTAATAAAATTAAATACGTATGTTTTTACGTGAATTATATAAAAGATATTTGCATATGACATGGACCAATTTTATAACATCTTTACAAGTTACAACTAACTTTTTATCAGGTAATTTTATGATATAGATAGGGTAGTATCAGTATTATTCACCGAATACCACAGGAATTTATTTTTTAAATCTTAATGAAAATTAAATTCATTCGAGGTAACAGCATGAACGCTTTATTATTAAATGAAAACAAGATAAAAAACTTAATGTAGACGAAAAGACCTATGATCAAAAAGTTATTAAGTTGTTACAATTTAAATTTGCAAATTGGCATTAAATATAATCTGAATAATAATCAAAGTTGTATTTAATATACACCACGTCTTTTTATATAACTATAAATACTTACTGATGTAATATTTACAAATAATCCTCCTGAATTATCATTTAATAGCAGACTAAGTAATATTACTTACCTATAATTTGAAAATACTTTATGGGAATATTAGGAACATCGGATGAAATAAAATGATGATTGTATACATTGTTATTATAAATCATATATTTTTTATATCGTTGTCGATTTGTTCTCAAAAAAAAATGTATATTACACGTTTTCAAAAAACTTAAATATATATATTACAAACAAGTCAACCATTTATGTATTTTTTTTAATATATATATAAATCAATAAACCAAAACAAAACATATAGTGTTGAAATTAAAGCTATGATTTTCATTAGCAAATTCGACCACTAAATGGCCCACTAAACTTAAATGTTGTTTTTTTTAATAATAATATTATATAATACATCTACTTAGAATTTATATTTACTCTTTATAATATTGCACATGATGAGTTTATTTTACAAAGGAGGTAGAAACATTTAAGTTTGCTTAGTTTGTGTATGTGTTTTTTTTTCTTTGAGGGGAAGTTGTTGATTAGTACGGTCGCCAAACTGCGTCCGTGCTGTGAGCTGGACCTCTTTGAGCACCGTTCGTGTTAAGTCGAGCGTCGTCTTGTCTCTGGGCTGCAGCTCCACAAGATCCATTGTTGGTGAGGAGTAGATCAGTTGAACCATTCATCTGCCTCTGATTGGAAGTCGAAAGTTGATCCATGACAGTTTGCAGATCGTTGTGGGATTGCGTGGTGTGTGAATGAAGGGAGTGGAAGTTGTGGGTTTGGTTCGCTGCAGAATACAGTTGCGAGTATAGCAGACTAGCGGGAAGGACTGGGTATAAGGAGTTGTTGCAGGTGCTGCTGGGATAGGTGGTCGGCGTCATGTTCTGATGGATGGAAAAGTTGGTGTTGTTGGTGTGGTTCACTCCTAACGTGCTTTGGGTCAGCAAATCGTCTTGGACTGGACTCTCAGCAGCGCTTGAGTTGTCGGATAACGATCGAGATCCTGATAAGGAGAAGTCCGTGTGGTTGGAGGAGTACCGCGGTACTAGTAGAGAAGAGGAATTTTGATTTTGGGTGGTGTGCGTTTGGGTCGTGACTAGTCCTAAATGCTGATCCAAATCCGTCGTCGAAGTATCTGGAAGTACTGTTAAATTCGATTAGGTTAAGGTGATCTTCGAAGGATGTTGAGTGTTCTTACATGAACCGACCGCAGTACCCGTACCGAAGGCATCTTGTGTGGAGCTCTGATCCGGCGTGGTTCCTGAGAAACCCAAAGCAGGAGTATTGAATTGAGAGGCAGTAGGCGCTGGACACGAACCTAAAGAGCTGGGAGTAAAGTACGGGGAGTACGCCCCCGCAGCCCCGTACCCCCAATGCGAGTTGGTCGACGTTAACCCAAATTGCGGCATATCTGGAAAAGCTGCAAGTTAATTAAAAAATATTTTGATTGATTGCTTCGTACAATCCCCGCAACAAAGCTCCGATCACAGCGGTTTTTTTCCCATTTCGTTTCACTACGCAATTTTTAATTTCCGAAGCGAATTTAATTGGCGTACTAATAGGTATTATAGTTGCTATAATGGAGTGTACTCTATACATGTTGGTAATGCAGTTGATGAGCATATCGAGCGGCCCTCCCGCAGCTTTCAACTGTCATGCCTCACCAAAGCATTCGTTGTTTTATCTCCCTCTGTCCCTCTCTCTCACTCTATCTCTTTTTTTTATACCGTTTCCAACATATAAAACCCATCAAACCCGTGTTTAGTCCACATGTTATTGAATGAGATCCCCGCAGAAACGAATTAATTGCTTTTTTTCATCGACCCTTTACCCCATCGTCGCAAAAGCTAAATGGAAATCGGTGCACAACTAAAGAATGATATGCGCTTCAATGAATTACGCTTATTGCGCTTCGGGGAGAAGTTTAACTTAATATGTTTGTATTCGAAACAAAGGAATAATATTGTTCGGTATCTAGCTGAGAACATCTTAATCGCTGAAAAGGATATCTTACTATTACAATTCCCTATCGGGGGCATCCTGAATCCAGTGAGGGGATCGGAGGCGGCGAACGGGAAGGGCCGCTGGCCGAAGGCAAAATGGAATTGTTGCTGCTGCCCTAAAAGAGAAAGCACTACATTAGCCTATAATACTGCTCTAGATACCAATTATGAAAGAAGATATGTTGGAAGATGGTGCACGTGTAGGCTCGGGTTTGGATCCCATCTACTCACACCACCCTTTCTTGTACACCACCCCTTTTCGTCCTGCGGAGCATTAGGGAACCGCAGGACTTGTTTGCAAGATAACGGAGTTGCGAGCCAAGTTTGAGCCAGTTTGTTCGGAATTGCTACAACTTCCTGCTATATTAGTTCACTTAACCTTAAATACTCCACTCTGTTGCATACAACTTATTAATAATATCTTACGGAACAAAACCCCCTCAGACTAGTTCCACATCCACCCTCCTTATATATGTACATATTCGCTTTAATGGTTCATTCTTAATTAAAACTTTTGTCTTGTCATGCATACGGCCTTTCATTCATTGAAACCGCGGAGCAGTTACACGCGGACGTATTTCATTTGATACAACGAAGCAAATGCAGACATAATTAAATCCACCGTTATTTCCATGGACCATCATCATTCGATTTATGGTATTAAAAATACGCGATGTATTAAACTTTAATTGGAGTTCACGCCGACTAAAAATAACGAACAATATGTGTTAGTTAATACATATATTTATATGTTATAAACTGCACTTCGACGAGCGACAAAAATTGAAAATTGAAATGAAATAAAACAAAGTGATTAAAATTTTCACCGAACAATTATTTTATTACCCTATGACATGAAAGCAATTCATTTACGACCATTAAAATATTCCCACTCGCAACTTTATTATTCTACACGAATTGATTTATTTCATAATTATAAAAATACAATACTAAATATTATCTAAACGTATTTCCAGTTTTTTTAAGTATAATTACAATAATCATTTCATTAAAAAATATATATTTTCATAATATTTTAATAAAACTTAGTAACTGTTCATTAGTTTAAGTAATCTTTACAAAATTAATAATAACTTAAAAGTTAAGAGCATTGTAGTAATATAGACAGGCAATGCTTCAATATATCTTTCCTATTGAGAATTTCAATTACACTCTAGTTTGTAATATTCCATGGTATCATTAAAATTATGATTGATTTATTATAATATTAATACATTTAAATACAAAATTATTCATTCGAAACATTACATAATAAATTCAATTTAAAATGTAAAATTTCTCAATTACTTAAGACGTGAGCATGTACACCTCAGAAAAATATTTTACTGTTACAAAGGTAACCAAATTAAATATAGTTACATAAATCATTTAAGTTGGTACACTTGTTAGTACATCTGTTTCTACATTTTTTCGTATATAAAATTTATTTGCTATAAAAACGCCAGAGATCAAAGCCTTTCATTCTATTTTGGAACATTCTCAAAATCTTTTTTTTTTATTTAATGCAGTAAACAGTTCTGATTCACAAATTGCAGCAGTATACAAATAATTTTATTTGTCTGATGGTATATGTTAAAATATTTAAATCTTTTGGAAAATTGTTAATTATACTTATAATTTATTAGTCTAGATTAAACCAATTCAAGGAGACTTCTGTCAATGTAAATATTCTAGGAAATATCTGTATAAAGAGGAAACTTCTATCAAAGTGAATGTAATTTGGTAATTTATAGTTGGTGCACCTGTCATAATTAATTATAGCAGTTGTCACATACAAATAACTTTGATTGTTGTGGTTGCACCATAATTGTTAATTTAGGTATGTTAAAATTAATTATATTGTATTATGTAACAATTGATGTCGATACATTTCTGGGGTCAGTCTGGATTATATGGAAGTGAGTGTTTTAAAGAGGAAACTTTTCTAATTCCTATGATTCTTTTGCAGTTTTCTTTTTGTAGCAGTTATCAAAATATAAAGAACTAAACTTTACTTTTTAAATTTATAATCGAATTCTCCGTAGAAATAATCTTTTGATTAATCTATGATTTTCACCCTTTCAAATTAAGGGGATGTTAGGGTAAATAAATATATTTTGGGGTAAAAGTTATATAAATTATACCGAAGTGATTAATAATAAAATGAAACTTATATAATTGTAAATGTATTTAGATTACATAATGTGTAGTTGGTACAAATGTAAAGGCACCATAAAGGTTGTACAAATCACATGTACATTACTGGTAGGCAGTCTGGATTATACCGAAGTGAGTGGTATAAAGAGTAGACTTTTATAAATGCGAATGTGTGTGTTTACTCAAGGGTAGCAATAAATCGTCTCTGAAATTCTTAGGGAGACCTGTTGCACAAGAAGGGGGCGAAAAGTGAAACTTTTAGAAAACGCGCCAAGATTTACCCGCAAGACACGTCCCGGCGTATTTAAGGAGCGGTGACTGTGGAGGCGGATGAAGGCGGCTGTATCTCAATCCGGAAACGACCCTAATCCCATTCTTTCCGCATCTGGTTTATTTAATTTTGCGCTTTCGGGGTTGGCAATTACAATCCGTTCAGAACCGGATGGAATCGATTAGGGATTATAATTACGTTGGCATTAATCAAGCGGCGGCAAAGAAATGGAAATGGAGCGGCGCGTGGAGGGAGGCGGTGTGGAGAAGGGTGGCCAAAGCGACCAGACTGCGGGGCAGGGCACAAAAGGGGAGCCTCCACGAACATGTGGACGCGAAATGTTTGTTTAGTACAGACCTATAAAATTTTATATGGTGATCGGGTTCAAACAAAGCCGGCGCTCTTTAAATATACACACACTCCCGCGCACACATACAAATCCAAATACATATATACGCACGCTGCGGGAATTTTCCCTTTTCTCTCGTCGGGAACGATTTTAAATTAGGCGCCGCGCTTTGAAATCGCATCCGAAAAACACAGTTAATTCGTGCCATTAAAGTTTCTGTGTTAAAAGCGGCTAGAGATAGAGATGGACGGGAACAAGGATGGGATAGAAGGAGTGGTAGAGGAATAGGAGTTCTGGTTTGGGGCAAGTGTTCGAGCTCTCACCCTAATCTAATACATGTCAAGAGGAAAGTGTCCAGCTGTCGGGGCTCCCCTGTCCTGCTAGGTTTTGTCACCTCCTGCTGATGCCAACTGCTGCAGACGTTAATTAATATATACTAGCAGGAAACGTAATTATTTCCTTCCGATGCAGAGGCTCGGTTCGACTCTGCTCAGCACGCAAGGAAAAAACGATGAGAATTGATTGGAACAAAAAGCACGGTAAGGGTGCGTCCCGAAGGATGCAATAGGTGGAAGGAGGGTGGCGTGTGCGGAGGTCCTGGAGCCCAAACTAAATATTCATCACCCGAGAATTTCCCTAAATTTGCAAGAGCTCTAGAGCTGAATTAATGAATTGAATTGGTTGATTAATTAATTAGAACTAGCTCATCTGGGGTCTGTTCCTGACCCTTTCGCATATAGTACCTCCTTATTTGAAGGGCCCCCTTCAATCCGCATTTATTTCCAACCATTTACACGCCAATCCATACTTCATACACATTTCCGAACGCTACTAGAATGCGACGAGGAAACAATACACCGATACGCACGAATTTCGTTCTGAAAATATTACAATTTGTATTTATTTCTCCCGATAAACTTCCTTGAAATTGTTCTCCAATGGTGCCAAATCTGATCAAATTGGTGCGAGCAGATGACTGAGTTCGGAAATAGTTTCCACAGGAACGTAGACGTCTGCTATTGCAGCAGAAACTTTATCCATTAATTGATTTGTTACTCTCCAAAGAAATAAAAATTACTTCCGACTACAACATTTTACATTTAATTCCAATACTTCAAATTAACTGTCACAAATGCCATAGATTCAATGTCTTGATAATTATCTTTTTTTTTGAGAAATTTTATGTTTTCAGTTTTATATTTTGTTGTATACATTTGTGTCGTATTATTGAAGAATATTCTTATACACACTAGATACAAGGTCTACTATCCTAATAATTATAATTGATCAAATATTATGTAGTTTTGAAGATATATGTTACTGCCATATCAATCATATTTTTTATGTATTCTTACTACACAAATTAATTGATTCTTTTGAACCAAGGGATATTGATCATAGTTTTCATAATCTATCATAGATTAGATCTAATTATTCCTTCATATTTCAAAACAATATCCAAATTAGTTGAAACTCACTGGTTTGTAATTTTTTGTCTATAGTTTTCATAATATGTCATAGATCAAACCTATGATAATTATCCTATTAGAAAACAATATCCAAATTAGTTGAAACTCACTGGTTTTGGATCGTGGTTCCCTGGGTCCATCTACCGTCACCTTGATTGCTTTGTTATACGTGGCCACTTGCGGCGGAGACGATGACACCGTTATCGTCAACGTGAAGCTCTTCCCTGAAAAATACGTAAATCATTTACTTTCATTCAGTTATTTCCATGTTACTCATGTTATTTATTTTTTGTTTTATTTATTTATTATACATTTCGCGTTACTGCAGTTTATTATTGTTAGGTAATCAAAAATATCAATTTCGGTTCAGCCAAATTTAAATTGTCCCCAGAGCACGGACCGACGGTTTCATATTTATATTGAAACCAATCCGCCCTCGATTTTGCAATTATGTTATTACACAAATAACAGCAACAACAATAACAGAGTAACAAAAAAAATAATATTTTAATCCGTATTTTTAATTGTTACAATTCCACAATACAAATAAATAAAATAAATCAACTCGTGTGGTTTATATTTTTTTATATAACTATAATATCTGTTATATCACACATTTTATTTATATTTTGATTGGTAAAAAATATGTTAAAATTACAAGATTTTAATATTGATATGAAAAAGAAAACAGTACATCTTGTAAATTACAGTAATTGCACCCTATCATGTTATGACAATTAAAAAAGTTTCATCTACTTATTTACTGTTTTATATATAAATAAAGATATTGGAAAAAGAGAAGTAACATCTAATACTTCATTTTCTACTCTTATTTTATTTTGTGTTAATTATTTATATTTTTTATTGACATGGAGTATTGTCATATCAGCCAACTTAAATTATTTTTGGTTTAGAACTAAAAAATGTTTCATACAATTTATACATAAATAAATTCTAACATAAAATAAAAAAAATATATATATTAATAGGCTAGCCAAAGGGCTAACGACCGAGGTCTTTCCGCCCAGGAACATAAATTTAATTATGAAATAATATCAGTATTATAATAATAATAATATACAAATGAACAATAGAAGAATAAGGGAAAAAAAGCAGCGGAGTAGGAACAAGTGTGTATCAATCGAGAGAGATAAGGTATTGGAATAGGGATGATGTGGGATATTTAAATTTGGGAAGGATATTTGGGTTTCGAGCGGAATGTTTCATATTTTTCCGCCATATATCAAAAAATGACTTCACGAGATGAAGTGAAACAAGAACAAAATTTAGAATTTTTTGTCTGTATTGTAGACATACTTGAATATATACTTATTCTTATAAAGCAGAGTTTCTCAACCTACAACGATCAATGGATCGTTGCAGGTCAATGACAACTGTCACCTTGGGTCAAACCGTTGATATGATCTTTTGCAATGATTCTCTCGCGTAAATTATTTGGGGGTTGCAAAATATTAATGACAGATCAATCCTGGTTGTTTTTCTACATATACTCATACTTCGAGGGTTCGCAGAATTTTTTTATATCCAAAAGGTTTGAAAATCACTGATCTATTGGGTTGCAATATGACTACAAAAAAATGTTGGAGTGCGCGGCTATTAGGTTGAGAAACGCTGATTTAGAGTATTTAGAGTCCATGTTAATTCTTTTTATTTTTTTGTATGACGTATAATTTTATTCACAATCTGTTCATCAATGTGAACATTGAGTAAATTTAAGATCGCGGTTGACATTAAATGGACAATTTTTCCCGATGGATAGATTATGATGATTTGATTTTTTAAATTTATTATAGTCGTCTTGTAGGTTAACTTCAATTTCCTTTGACTGTGAATCTGCTGCTATCCTTAACACTGTCATTGTCCATCGACTTGGCTGAAGGTCCATATGCTGAACCTCATTCATTTGACTATCCATCTGTGATGAACTATAGCTACAAGCACGGCTCACAAAGGGCCTGGCTTGATCAGGATTCGAACCGTCGCAGGTTCCATCGTGGTTGGACGACTTAAGCATTCGGTTATTAGTTACAATTGAATATAATTATTTCAGCTTTACCTGGAAAACTCTTTTATCTGTTAAGTATTTTTATTTTCTATATAATAAAGAATAAATGATACACCTGTCTCACATGATGTGTTGCAGGTTTTATTATATTATATTTATATCTATATCGATTTGAATAATAATAATATTTATACAGTTTTGCATATGAAAATCATAAGGGTCATTTTATTCAGTTGGCTATTTGCAAATGTATTAATAATTTGCAAATGAAATTGTACACATTAATAACTAAATATTTGCATTTGAAATAATAATGGTTGTGCGGTGGTTGGGGGAAAGGTAAAATGTTATCGATTGGAAAGACGAAAGTGGTGTGTGTATGTGTGTGGTTTTTGAGGGATGATAAGTTGTTGTGCGTGGTTAGCGCTTATTATTTTGTTTATACATTTTATTTGGTTTGGAGTGCGCGGCGTCACGCAGGGCTGAAGGCAGTGCGTCGTCGGTGGTGGTGGCGGCAGCGGTGGCGTCGGGTTTGGGTCGGAGGCGTCGCGACGGCAAGTGGGTAGCGTCACGCTATGGAGCCGACGGCGTCAGGCACCGCCACCGCCCCCGGGTCGCGGTCAGGCTACTGTTAACCCCCTGCATTGGCATTGGTTGCGTGGTCGACCTCCGCTGCCACCGCGACCATACCGCACTTACACTAGCGCCCAACACTACATTTCCACCAGAATCTTGATTGCCAAATTACTTGCCAATTAAACTGAAATACAAATAAACGACAACTTCTGGACATTCGTAATTTAATAACAATAAATTTTAAAAAAATCAAAAGTTTTTTTTTAATTTAAACATTTCTAAAGTCTGCTCTTTTTCATACTCATTACAAGTTTTCTTATTCTCTGCACTCTACTCCGCACCTATTGAGAACTTTAGGTTGATAATAATGGTGCTATTAATTATGTCAAATTACAGGTCAATTGAAAGCACCATATAATTTTGAGAGATATTTAGAATTCCTATTACAAGTTGATAATCGTTATATTTATTCTTTGCAAACTATTTCTTATTGTTAATGTTGTCTTAGGTTGGTTATGGTTATACAATGAATCCTGTCAAATTACATGTCAATTATAACAATCTGTCAAACGTTGCATTACTTAGGTTTATTATAGTTATGCAATAATCTGTCAAACGTTGCATTACTTAGGTGGGTTATGGTTATGCAATGAATAATGTCAAATTACAAGTCAATTGAAATAATCTGTTAAACGTTGCATTACTTAGGTTTATTATAGTTATGCAATGAATCCTGTCAAATTACAAGTCAATTGAAGTAATCTGTCAAACGTTGCTTTTCTTAGGTTGGTAATGGTTATGCAATTAATCCTGTCAAATTACAAGTCAATTAAAATAATCTGTCAAAATGCTGTCAAACTGTCAATTTGAAAAATGACACAAATGGCAATTGAAGTATCGTAAATATGTAAACAAACCAGTTTTTTGTTTGTTTTAATTTAATACTTGAAAGTAATTATATGTATACTTCAATTAATCATAAATAATCAAAGAAGAAGTGTTTAATGAAAGTATTTGCAAGCTTATATTTATAAATTAGAAACAAATAACTATAAAATTTAAGACTTAGTTAATTAGAAAATACAAAAAGATTAATGCATGTACTAGAATGTATATAATTATATATATAAATGATATTGATTATTTATTACAGGAAAATACACAAATTTTGAATTGAAAAATGGAAAATATTTATCGTTTTATCGATTATAATGAGTTTCAACTTTTAATACAAATCATCAATGAAATTATTTAAAAACGTTTGAATAGCAAAAAATTTGAGCAGAAAATACTTTTGGAAAAAAAATAAAGCTGAAAATGATTTAATGAAGATATCCGGAGTAGCAATTAATAATTGGTGTTGGGGTGGTCTGTGGGTGGATGTGCTTTGAGCCATGTGAGTGAAACACACACATGCGGGGGAGGAAAAAAAATGCACTACGACCACCATAAAATAAAGCGCTGAGCGCGTAAAAATCGATGCATTTAAAAGTGGCCAGAATGTAGCGGTATGTTTGAGGTATCACACAAACCCTAATGGCCGGGTTAAACACATCAAGTAGTGTGCATTTTTCACCAAAGCTCACCTACACTGTATACTACCCTGTGCCGGTCGGCCGGAAGCGGAAAAATCGCGCGCCCCATATGCAATTATCCCACCGTTCCTGGCACACAATCGATACCAACACTATACTGGCACGGAGTATCCGTATTTGTTAGCCACTGGATTATTTCCGAGCTTTATTTGAGTTTTGGTTTCGGTGCAGTTTGAATATTTGCTTTGGTGATTGCGATCCAAAAGCGGCTCGTCGTTATTTTATTTATTTATTTCTTCGTTCATTTTTGTTTTGTTTTGTTTTGTTCGGTGTGTTCCGTTTCGACTGTTTTATTTCTATGTCAGTACGGCATCCACCCCGCATTTTGTCCTGCTGCCACAGCCACCTCCAATGCATATCGCATCAGACTTTTTAATTTAATGCCATCATGCAAATGCAATTTGCACCACCAGCAACATAAACCACGTGAAGCATGAAAATGTTATATAATCATAGACTTGTCAAATGATGTTATGATCACTTTTTTCATCAAAATCTACTTACAGTCATTTTCTAACCATAAGACGCATTTTTGACATAACAATTTAGGTGCGTCTTATAGTCCGATGTATTTTATATTCCGGATAATACGGTAATATGTTTTACTATTAACTTTTTACATATATCGCACACAAGTAGAACAGTTGGTAGTAGTTAGTTTATTGATATTATACAGATACCTAAATATTAGGTCATTTACATCAGAATATTACTCAATTCTTAACATATATAAATATAGAACATCAAAGTCTATAGTCCAGGGGTAGCCAAACTGAGGCTCGCGAGCCGCATGCGGCTCTTCAAGAGTCTTGTTCTGGCTAGTGGATCCACAACAAAACACAAATATTATATATATTTAATATTATGATTGAGATTTTTTTTAAATTATTATACCAAAAAGTTTAGGTGTGGCTCTTGCAAAAAGTCTGGCAACTATAGTCAATTCACAAAAAACTTCTTAAGAAATAAAAATGTAGAAATTATAACATTTAACTCTTAGATAACTCCAAAAATATTTGTATATCCT